TTCTCCTATCAACTCTCAATTTAAGTTTCACCTGAATAATCTTCTCCATGTTCCTCTTATCACCAAAAATCTGTTGAGTGTCAGTAAGTTTGCTAAAGACAATTGTGTTTTCTTTGAGTTTCATGCTAATCATTGTCTTGTCAAATCTCAGGACACCAATGAGGTTCTTCTTCAAGGTGTTGTTGGTGCTGATGGGCTTTATTCTTTTCCTCATCTAAAGCTCCAAGGTCCCTCGGCATTGGTCTCTTCTTCAGCTCAAATACCCTCTCAGTCTGCTGTTTCACCTTCTGCAGTCTTAGATAGTTTCAATTTCAATAAAAATTCTGATGTATCTAGTTCTTCCACTATGTGGCATACTAGACTTGGTCATCCTAATTCTCATGTTCTTAAGCTTGTTCTTACACAATGTAACCTTCTCTCATCAAATACACATGTTACTGAATTTTGTTCATCTTGTTGTGTTGGAAAATCTCGTAGACTTCCTTCTTCTGCATCTCAAACTATATATTCTGCCCCCTTGGATGTAATTTTCACTGATTTATGGGGACCATCTCACATTACATCTTTTTCTGGTTATCTTTACTATGTTGCCTTTATTGATGCTTTCTCTAAATACACCTGGATATATCCCTTAAAATCAAAGGCTGAAACTCTATCTGTTTTTCAACAATTTAAGGCTATGGCTGAATTACAATTCAACACCAAAATTAAAAGTGTTCAATCTGATTGGGGAGGGGAATACCGAGCTTTTACTTCCTTTCTTGCCACAAATGGAATCCAACATAGAGTGATTTGTCCCCACACACATCATCAAAATGGTGTGGTTGAAAGGAAACATAGACATATTGTTGAAATTGGTCTCACCCTTCTTCATCATGCCTCCTTACCTCTAAAATTTTGGGATTTTGCTTTTACCACTGCTGTTTATCTTATCAATAGATTGCCTTCTGCTGCATTAAACTTTAATGTTCCTTTCACTACTTTATTCAACAAATCACCAGATTACAAATTCTTAAGAACCTTTGGTTGTGCTTGTTTTCCTTTCTTAAGACCATATGCCAGTCATAAACTTAATTTCAGATCCCAGGAGTGTGTTTTTCTGGGATACTCAAACTCTCACAAAGGGTATAAATGTCTCTCTTCTTCTGGCCGAATTTACATTTCAAAGGATGTCATCTTTAATGAACATAGGTTTCCTTACACAGATTTGTTTCAGCCAAGCCTTACACAAAATGTCTCTCCATGTCAATATTTCAATCTCAATCCAGATTTGTCTCCTCCTTGCACCACTTCAACTGTTCTCTCCCAGCAGCCTCCTTTGCCTTCTCAAATTGGTGATTCAAGTGTATCAATCATTCCTTCCGTGTCTTCTTCCCAAAATGTATCTCCTTCATCTCCTGAGTCTTCCTCACAAAATGTCTCTTCTCCTACCTCTTCCACTGCCCCTGCCAGTATACCAAGAACCATTAATAACCATCCTATGCAAACTAGGTCTAAATCTGGCTTTCATAATCCTCGGATACATCCATCCCTGTTCTTAGCTCACAGTGAACCTAAAACTGTTAAGCAAGCTCTTGCTGATCCTAACTGGTTCTCTGCTATGCAACAAGAGTACAATGCCTTAATGCTCAATCATACTTGGGATTTAGTTTCTCTGCCATCTGATCGCAAAGCAGTTGGATGTAAATGGGTTTTCAGAGTCAAGGAAAATGCTGATGGCTCTATAGATAAGCTCAAAGCTCGGCTAGTTGCAAAGGGTTTTCATCAAGTGCATGGTTTTGATTTTCATGAGACTTTCTCCCCTGTTATTAAACCTATAACTATTCGCATTATTCTTACTCTTGCTCTCACCAATAATTGGAATCTATTTCAGCTTGATGTAAATAATGCTTTTCTGAATGGCACTTTGGAAGAAACTATTTACATGGTGCAGCCTCCTGGATTTGAAGCTGGGGATAAGAGTCTGGTTTGCAAGCTAAACAAGGCCCTCTATGGCTTGAAACAAGCTCCTCGTCAATGGTTTAACAAATTAAAATTGACTCTAACTCGGTTTGGCTTTCAAGCTAGCAAATGTGATCCATCTCTGTTTCAGTACCAACATCAAACTCATACCATTTTTATTCTAGTTTATGTGGACGACATCATTATCACTGGCAGCTCTTCTTTGCTCATTCAACAAATCACCAACCAACTTGACTCAATTTTCTCTTTAAAGCAATTGGGAAGCTTGGATTACTTTCTAGGTATTGAGGTTAAACACTTGCCTGACAAGTCTCTGGTTCTGACTCAAAGCAAGTACATTCGAGACCTTCTTTTTAAAACTAATTTGGCTGAAGCTCATGGTGCTCCTTCTCCTATGTTCTCTAACTGCAAATTGTCCAGGTCTGGGAATGACTTCTTTCATGATCCCACTTTTTTTCGATCTGTTGTTGGTGCCTTACAGTATGCTACACTTACAAGACCTGAAATCAGTTTTGCTGTTAACAAAGTTTGTCAATTTATGGCTACTCCTCTTGACTCTCACTGGGTGGCTGTCAAACGTATCCTCAAGTATTTAAAAGGCACACTCTCTTATGGTCTTCATATGCAACCTGCTGCTGTAAACGGCCCCATCTCTCTCACTGCCTTTTGTGATGCTGATTGGGCCTCTGATATTGATGACAGGAGGTCCACTTCTGGTTCTGCTATCTTTTTTGGACCCAATTTGATATCTTGGTGGTCCAGGAAACAGCGTGTTATTGCTCGGTCCAGCACAGAAGCTGAATATCGCAGTATAGCCCAAGCCTCTGCTGAATTAACTTGGATTCAAGCCCTTTTGCAGGAACTTAAGGTTCCCTTTTCTACACCTACTTTACTCTGTGACAATCAAAGCGCGGTGGCCATTGCTCACAATCCTGTTTTCCACAGCAAAACAAAGCACATGGAGATTGATGTGTTCTTTGTTCGTGACAAAGTCCTATCCAAGCAACTTCTAGTTTATCACATACCAGCTCTTGATCAATGGGCTGATCTTCTTACTAAGCCTTTGTCTGCTGCTCGGTTTGAAGTTCTTAGGAACAAACTCAAAGTGCAAAGTTTTTGTGTCAAAACTTCACCTTGAGTTTGAGGGGGGCTGTTAGTGTATATGGGTTACAACAAAAAGGGAATATTTGTTTGTTTGTGCTTTTTGCTTTTTGCATTCTGTGATATCTTTAGGATATCTTCAGAATCTTTTTAGTGGACAGCTGTCCTGCCACCTCTCTAATTTTTCTCTCTCTGCTGGTTGCTTTTACAACCGTTTTCTCTCTTTTCTCTCACTGTTGTTTTTAGAAAAGGTTCCCTATATATTCAGCTCTCCTTGTATTCCTTCGTAAGCATCAATGATAATAAAACTTCACTATTACATTTTACCTCTCTTGATTTTATCTAACAAGCCTTAATGAAGGAACTTGAATCAAATAAGTTGAGTTCTTCCACCATAAGCATGTTAGGATTTGTCAAGGTCTTATTGAACAACCTTATAATTCTAATGAATGGTGAAGGATAAACAGCATGAACATATTATCAAGCTTGCTCAATACTTGTCAAAGATCATCACTTGCTATCATCATCTTGAACTCATCAATGATGGACTAAGCTTGGCCCAAGTAAGAAGGCAAATCATTATCAATAGTTTAAAGAGTTACCAAATTACAAATGGACCTGTATAACCTTTGGATATCATTAGCAAAAACATCTTGTGTCTTTTGCCAAATTTCATAACATGTCTTGTTAGGACAAAAAAGTACCATCAATTTAGGCTCATTTCATTGCCACAAAAGGGATAATAGTTGATAATCCCCTTGTTGCCATTCATCCCCCATTTCTCTATTGATTATATAATCCTTCTTGGTGAGGTGTACAATGTGTCCCTAGCCTAGGAACAAAATCTCGATAGCATTAGACTAGTCCAAGTAATTCTTACATTCATCCTATTTGTAGTAATGATTCAATAGCCAAAGCACACAAAAAGAGACCAACCCTTCTTACCCTACTCAAATTTAGGGTTTGTCACATGGAGAAGCTTATAGACAATACTTCAAAACATGTTGAGTTAACAGTAAAAAGAAACCTCAAGGGAAGAAGAATAGACACAATGCCTGACCCCTAACTTGGACAGGGACACAATAGGACCATAGAGGAATGATGAGTTAGGATGAGCAAGACAAGTTGTGAACAATGCATCAAAATGTGGTGTGCACATGCATTGATGAATGGCTTAAAAAGAAGTGACATGTAAGGGCATATGGTAAGGCTTCTACCAACAATGCTCAAGGGATGGGTGATCATCGATCTTTGAAGCTATTTGTGATGGTGTCTTAAACAAAGGTTAACGTTGCATTGGCAATCAACCTCCTTGATGGTGACTAAGCAAGAAAATAAGGTAAAATTAGTGTTTTCCCAAAGCATGACTTTGATACCATCTTGAGATGGAAAGAATAATTTCTTGTGTGTCTTGAATGATCTATATATATATATATATATATATATATATGAATGTTGAATCAATCCCTAAGGTTTGGCGTTTATAATTATGGAAATAAGGAAACTAAATAAAAATAAGAAAACGAGGAAATAATATCTCATCAATTTAGAATAGAATCTCAACACATGACAAACATTATATACATGTAAAACACAAATTCCCAATTCCCATAAGTGTCTTTTCTACAACTTAAACTTGACATATTCAAAGAACTCTTCAAGGCTAATAATGACTTTAAGCTCACAAAATATTGTTAATGAACTGCCATCTCGTATGGTCAAGTAGAAATCTAAACCATTAACACATAATATTCCATTTCTTGATAAGACAAAATGTTTTTCTCACTTGATAGTTTAGCTACTTTTCTAAAGCTATGATACTTTTTTTTTCAATGCAATGATACATGGTATGTGTGATACCATGAGCAAATAAATAATTCATTAGAAACTAAGCTTCACCAAATTGAAGGGAATTACAAGTTGCAAAGGGAAATTACCCTAAGAATATATCTGTGATCAATATAATTAGAAAAGCCTTCCCAGTGTCTGAAATATTATTGATAATTTTATAACTTGTAAATTTGAGCAAAGCTACCTGCACAACAGAAGCAAAGGAAAAAAATCATTAATATGTATATTTCAAACTAAGGCACAAAATAAAATATTAGTAAATATGTTGTAAAAGTCAAAGATATTTAGGAGGTAAAAAATATGTGAAAGTATCATGTGATGTTTGTTTCCCTATTATTATCATTTTATTTCCTTTTTAGGCATAATCTTTATTCTACAAAAAAAAAAAAGAGATTAGTGATTGTACAAAGCACAATTAATATACAATTTTTCTTCTCAACTTTCCGCTCTGGCAAACCATTGCCCCTTGCTACCGTTGTCACTGCCATTGGGACCACTGGTTGGATCAGGAGGTGTGCCTTCCACTAGCAACCAAGACCCAAAAGTTTCAAGGTCAATCTCCACGCTACATGCCACAAAGGATTCACCTGTGTCACAAGCAAAATAGGATAGCAGAACCTCCAATAAGGAAGAAATTGATCATCTCTAGGCCTTTCTCGATTCCATGAGCAAGCCCTCTAGATCATGTGTCTTGACCATGAGGGGTAAGAGTTCCTTTAACATCTTTGGGTCTATTTCTTAAAGTATTGGGATTCTTAATTCTCGAGCGACAAATCATGATTTCAAGCAACTTACTACAATTGCTAATGGAGATAAGGATCCTATTGTTGGATCTGACGCCTAACTCCAATCTTCTCTATCCCTACACAATGTTCTTCACGTCCAAAATTGGGTAATAATCTAATTTCTATATAAAGGCTTACTCAAGACTTGAATTGTTCAATGACATTTTTTCATTCTCATAATGTCTTTGAAGACCTTGTTTTAGGGAAGAATTTTAAATTCTAAAGGGTAGGGTGGGTTATACTTCTTGATAGGGTTGTGAGACAAGGCAACTGTACTTACGTTGTCACAAAATAATATAAGAGAATGGTGTTTACATGCAACTCTTGTAAAAGAGATTGTATCCATAGGGTTTCAATAGTTGTGGGTACTAAACTCAAAGCCCGCCAATTGCGCAATGAACTTCGCAGCACCACCCTTGACAATCTGTCCATCTCTGAATATGTGCTTCGAATTCAAACCCTAGTTGATGCCCTCACAGCCATAGGCGACTCAGTTTCTCCAAAGGAACATCTTGATATAATTCTTGAAGGTCTTCCCGAAGAATACGAATCCACCGTGTCTCTAATTAGTAGCCGTTTTGACCTTCTAACCATTGATGAAGTCGAGACCTTGCTCCTTGGCCATGAATCCCGTCTTGACAAATTCAAGAAGAAAGCCGCTGCCTCCATTAATGTCACCACTGCCGTCACTGAACCTGACCCATCTGCCACAAACCCACAAGCACACCTTACTCATCAAAACAATCAATCTGGCCCTTCTCATCGTCGAGGGGGTCGTACCAATTCTCGTGGTGGTCGTTTCTCCAATTGGTCAAGACGTGGTCGAGGCAGATTCGCTGGGTACCAATGTCAAGTCTGCCACAGGTATGGACATGTTGCCTCTGCTTGCTATTATCGTTTTGATGAAACCTATGTCCCATCCTCACCCCTTGAAGCACCCGCGTACCCCTCCAACAACCAACATACAAACCCAGGCGCATGGTACAACAATCAACCTACCTTGTCTTCTCCTTATCAGCATGGAATTCTTGGACCTAGACCTCAATTTACTCCTCAAGTCCAATTCACCTCCACCCAGCCACAACCTCAAGCCATGATTGCATCATCCTCCTCTTCCAGCAACAACAATTGGTATCCGGATTCTGGGGCATCAAATCATGTTACCAATGTTTCTCAAAATATTCATCAATTCACTCCCTTTGAAGGACCCGATCAAATCCATGTTGGCAATGGACAAGGGCTTCACATTAACTCCACAGGTGTTACCACTTTTCATTCTCCAATCAACCCTAAGTTTCAATTTGCTCTAAACAATCTTCTATTTGTACCATCCATCACAAAAAATCTAATCAGTGTTAGCCAATTCTCCAAGGACAATTCTGTATATTTTGAATTTCACCCCCACATTTGCTTGGTCAAATCACAGGACACTAATGAAGTTCTTCTCCAAGGCTCGGTTGGTTCAGATGGCCTGTACAAGTTCCCTGCACTCCTTCCTAATCCCAGTACGCAATCTGTCCAGCAACAGCAACTGGCCAGAATTTTTTCTGTCAATACTGCAGCAACAAGCCCTGTTTCCTTTGCCACTTGGCACTCTAGATTAGGACATCCCAATGTTGATGTAATGAAACATGTTTCACGGAACTACAACATTCAACTTGTGAGCAATAATAAATCAAATTTCTGCACTCCTTGTTGTCTTGGTAAATCCCACAGATTACCTTCCAATCTGTCCAGAACTATTTACAATACACCCTTTGATTTAGTATACAGCGATTTGTGGGGACCTGCTCCGGTTACGTCAACTTGTGGATATCAATACTATGTAACTTTTGTCGATGCTCACACACGCTTTACATGGATCTACCTTCTCAAGTCTAAAGCTCAAACCTTTAATGTTTTCAAACAATTTCACGCTATGGTTAAAAATCAATATCACCACCCAATCAAAGCTTTGCAAACTGATTGGGGTGGTGAGTATCGTTCCTTCACTACTTATTTGAATGAAGTTGGAATTCAACACCGTCTAATCTGTCCACACACTCACCATCAGAATGGAGTTGCTGAAAGAAAACACAGACACATTGTTGAACTTGGTCTCACGTTGATGGCTCAAGCTGAATTACCTATGCAGTTCTGGGATCACTCCTTTCTCACTGCCGTTTATCTCATCAATAGACTCCCCTCCTCATCTATTCAAAATGCTGTCCCTTATCATAAGCTCTTCCATCAACCACCAGATTATCTCTCTCTTAGAATCTTTGGTTGCTCCTGCTTCCCACATCTTCGGCCCTACAACAAACACAAACTTCAATTCCGATCCCAAGAATGCGTTTTTCTTGGTTACTCTACCTCTCACAAAGGTTACAAATGCCTTGCTGCTGATGGACGTCTCTACATCTCCAAAGATGTAGTGTTTAATGAAACTAAATTTCCCTACAAGGATCTTTTCTCCTCTTCCAAGGCTAGTGACTCCCAACTTCCTATTTCAGTTCCTCTTACTATAAATCCCACTCCCACACCCACTCATGCAACCAGACTCACCTCTCCCAATCCACCAACAACCTCACCAAGCCTAATCTCTGATTCTTACAGCCCCAACACTGCTGCCCACACCTCTCCCTCCACTTTATCCATTCCCACATCCTCCAACCTTGAACCTTCCTCATCTCCTATTATTCACCCTCACAATGTGCACCCTATGACCACAAGAGCAAAAGATGGTATAGTTAAACCACGCCTCCAACCCACCCTTTTATTAACCCAGGTTGAACCAAAAACCACCAAACAAGCCTTATCTAATCCGACCTGGTCTGCTGCCATGCAAACAGAATACAATGCTCTCCTTCACAATAACACCTGGTCTCTTGTTCCTCTTCCACCGCATCGCACTGCTATAGGCTGCAAGTGGGTTTTCCGTGTCAAAGAAAATCCTAATGGTTCGGTCCAAAAGTACAAGGCACGCCTTGTTGCCAAAGGATTTAATCAGCAATTTGGCTTTGACTATCATGAAACCTTCTCCCCTGTCATCAAACCCGTTACTGTTAGACTCATTCTCACCCTTGCTCTCACTCATCGTTGGCCTATTCAACAACTTGATGTTAACAACGCCTTCCTCAATGGAACACTTGAAGAAGAAGTTTACATGCAACAGCCACCTGGATTTGAAGCTTCTGATAAAAATCTCGTCTGTAAACTTCACAAGGCCATTTATGGGCTCAAACAGGCACCTCGTGCCTGGTTTGACAAACTCAAATCAACTCTGCTGCAATTAAACTTTTATGCCAGCAAATGTGATCCATCACTGTTCATATACTCTCAGGGCAATAATGTCATCTACATCCTGGTGTATGTTGATGACATTATAATCACTGGCAATAATTCCTCAATTCTTCATACGCTTGTATCTCAACTCCATTCAATCTTCTCCCTCAAAGATCTCGGTGATCTTGATTTCTTTCTTGGCATTGAAGTAAAGTCTCAGCCTGATGGTTCTCTCATTCTTACTCAAAGTAAGTACATTCGTGACCTATTGAATCGTACTGATATGGAAGGCTCAAAACCTATTTCTTCTCCCATGATCTCTGGAAGCAAACTATCAAAAGTAGGCTCTGAAGATTTCTTGGACGCTTCTCTCTACCGTTCAGTTGTAGGTGCATTACAATATGCTACTATTACAAGACCCGAAATTAGCTTCTCTGTAAACAAAGTCTGCCAATTCATGTCCCATCCCCTTACACATCATTGGGCAGCTGTCAAAAGAATTCTCAGGTATCTAAAGGGCACTACATCTTGGGGTCTCCGTCTACAACCTGCCTCTTCTTCTTCCTCCCTCTCGATCCATGCCTATTGTGATGCAGACTGGGCGTCTGATCCTGACGACAGGCGTTCTACATCTGGCGCCTCCATCTTCCTTGGACCAAATCTCGTATCCTGGTGGTCCAAAAAGCAAACTGTAGTTGCCCGCTCTAGTACTGAAGCAGAATACAGAAGCCTTGCCCTTGCCACAACAGAAGTCACTTGGATACAAACTTTACTATCTGAACTTAAAGTCACTCATTCTACTCCAATTATCTTCTGTGACAACTTGAGCACTGTCGCTCTCGCTCACAACCCGGTTCTTCATGCACGCACCAAACATATGGAATTAGACCTTTTCTTTGTTCGCGAGAAAGTGGCTGCCAAGTGTCTTCAAGTTGTTCATGTTCCAGCTATTGATCAGTGTGCTGATGTGCTCACCAAAGCTCTCTCACCTACGCGGTTTTGTGAACTTCGGTCCAAGCTTCAAGTAGTTGAGTCTCCTCATCCTACTTGAGCTTGCGGGGGGCTATTGGAGTACAGTTTTACTCCTTTATTGTTACTTTCGGTTATTATAGATAATTAGGTTATCTTTCTGTTA